CCCAGCAGCACCACCACCATAATCATTGCCTCCCACTATCACCTCCCCCAGGGCCAAAGCTCCAGGATGCCAGACTGATAGCACGCAGTAACCATATCTGCACTTTTCAACAGATTGGCCGTCCCTAAAAGTAGCCTCTGTTCTGTGTCCGGGGCTGGGGGTGGGAGGGGGGGTGGGAGTCTGAGCTTTGAGGGGCCCTCAGGTAATGCCCTGGGACACCTGATACAGGTAAACCTCACATACCTCCTCTTCATTGTTTTCATCTCTTTCATTTCCCCTCTTTCTTCCCCCCCTGATACCAACCACATATGAGAGACAGTCAGCCAAAAACAGAAAAAAAGAAAAAAAGAAAAAAGAAAATTCCAAAAACACAGATGTTCTGTACAGACTACATTTACTGTGGAAAAAAAAAAAACACAAAATACATTTTTCTACGTTCAGCTCTGCAGTGCACGCTCAGGTCCAGCTGTGCTCAGAGACTCATCCTCAGAGTGGCTCCAAACCATTCTGTCCCCACTTGGGGAAAATATGTAAATATTTCAGCATGTGTTACAACTGGATGCAGGTGTGACTTTACTCTCTGAAAAGCTGTCTTTGCTCCACGACTATTAAAAACATGCAGAAAGGCCTCTTTATTTGTCTTGAATTGATATGGCTGCTGTTGATTTTTGCTCTGTAAATATGACGGCCCTTATTAACGTCTGCGATTTCCAGACTGAGGGAAACTGAAAGCAGCAGTGGAGGGAGATATGACTCTCTCTCTCTCTCTCTCTCTCTCTGTGTGTGTGTGTGTGTTAGTGAAAGGTGGCTGTTTATTTTTTTACATGTTTTGTCTCACTCTGGGTTTCCTATCTGACACTTATGGGAACGTTGACAACAGACTAATCCTCAGATTGCTGCTGCCGGAGCAGACATTTGTTATGAATGGGCTTCTGGACCCAGTTTGTTGTAAACGAAGGAGTGAGAGGAATAACTTTTACAGGATCTGAGCTTTTAAATATTATTTTTATTAATTTTTTAATAATAAAATAAACACACTTTCAGCTGGTCTTCGTCAACCTTTTTTCAAGTTGTAAGGTTTAAAGGTTTTTATGTTGTCTTTGCTTTTCTTTATCTAATGGAACCTTTTTTTTTACCTCTTTTTACCTACCTTCATGGCTAGGCTTGACTTTTTTAGGTTAATTTTATTTATTTTCGTGCTATTTCGCAATGATTAATATATATTTGGCATTTTTACAACAACCTTTCTGGGCCTACTAAAAATATTTTTGATAAACGACCACATGTTTCTACTTTAGTTATTTTTAGACCAAATTATAATCACCATCCTAACCAAAATCCTGGTATTGCTTTTTCTTTTCTTTTTTGGCAGTGTACTGTATATCTACTTCTGGGCTAACCACCAGTTTGTTAGGCTAGTTTAGAGTAATAAATGGGTAAAAAAGGGTAATATTTAATAATTTTGCAGACCGTATCATCCACAATGTTAGCTTGTGGCTAGCACAGCTTCTTTTAGGAAATTTGTGGTTTTAAATTTGAATTTTTCTACCTGTTCTAACTAGTAATACTAACTAATGATTAAGGTTGTGATACTTTTTAGCTTCTTAGTTTGAGACTGGTCACAGACTGGTGTTTCTGGTTATGTTGCAACTGTTTACTGATCCTTAGTTTCTAGTTTTTGTTAAAAAAATTTCTTTTTCACTGTTGTCTTGTAATGAATGTTTGATTAACATTTTACCAATCTGTACTAGAGTTAGTTTGTTTTCTCCTTTTTTTGGCCAATGTTTTCGCTGCTTTTAAACAACTTCTTTAATGACTTCATCATATCTGTGAAACTACTGTCAACTTCTTTGGTGTAACAAACACTTATTAAACCATAACAAGAGGTTTTGTTCTGACTATGGCCCCTGTTCTTCTCTGACCCCGGTACAGGAATGGCGTGGTTTGACTCACCGACCCATAGAGCTCTCCTTTCTCATTCATGCCGAGGTAGAGTCCGGCATCCACCCCTCTGATGCTGACCAGACCCACTGCCAGGCTGATGAACTCCAGGATACCTGAGGTCAATCAAACACACACACACACACGTACACACACACACACACACATACACAAGAATAGGAAGAAATTAGTCCATGTCAGCCTAACAAGTCTTCTCCTCTTCCATGGCCCATCAGTCATGTGCAGTAAATCCATCAGACATTTTTTTCAACTCCTTCTGAAACGTGTCCACTTTCGTCTTCTGTCCCGCTCTGCCTTTTAATCTTTATCATTTGTAATGGGCTCAAAGGAACCCAACATCCTGCTGCTGCTCCACACTTCAGCAGAAAAATAAGCTGATTTAAAGCCCAAAAACAAACATACAGACTGGAATAGAACAGCACCAGGGGAAGATTTCTTTGATTTCTGTCTCTTTTATTGAAGTCTTCCTTACGATCATGTCACCACTCTATCATAATGGGTTGTGGTGTCTATAAATGTGTCATTGGCGATTCCATCTGGCTACTAATACAGACCGAGGAGTGACTTTTACGACGATGGGATGTGGGCAGAGTTGTTTAGTGAACTGCTGACTCGCAGGAAGTCGCTGCAAAGTGAACGTCTACACTTCAAAGTCGAGGAAACAAGAGGTGAAATTAAAAGCCATCGGCTGTTGTGATGCAGGGAGGTTAGTCAGAGAGGATCCAGCTGGCAGCATGCATGCATGCGTTGACTGGCAGAGGCCGTGGCTTGCTGCCACCTGGTCCCCATCTCCTCGACCTCATCCGATGCCAGAGGATGACAGAGAAGATCCCTCTAATTTTTTGCGGGGTGAAGAAGAGTGTGTTTCATATCCCTCTAATCAAAGCCATGTCCTCCCTGCAGCTCTGACAAAGGCCTAAGTGAAGCCAGAGACAAACACGCGGACCACCCATCCCTGTAAACCGGCTTGTTTTGGCTCACGTCTGAACCTTTTAACCGTCCCAGAGTTATTCTGCAGCGGTCACGCTTTCATGTTTCAGACTTGTCCCGCAGCTATCGGCCTGCACCTGTGCAGAGAGATGACTACGTGGAGATGAGGCGCGAGACATGTGCGCGTAATCTGCCCTCTGACCTCATCTGTTTATCGTTCTCCCACGAGCCGCACCTCGCCCCATTGACATTAACGGTACCAAGCCTTCAGAGCGGTGCACACTCTGCTGTGAGGAGAGACACCTGCTCACCGTCTGTCTGTGTGTGTGTGTCTGTGTGTGTGTGCATGACTTTATTAGACCAGGAGGATGACTTTTGGTTTAATTCCAAATTGTGAAAACATTTTAATCTACTGAGGCCATCGTAGCAGCTGCTGACAACTTTATTTTAAACATCAGGATGTGGTTTCAGGATTATGGAGAGAATCAGGATCTGGTACAGGACGGGTTCAGATAAGGCTGTGGGGCTGGTACTGAACCCAGTTAGGAGGAGGTTGAAGTGAGAGATCAAGGTGTGTTCCAGTCTGGACTGGGAGGTGTTTTCTGGAAATGGCAGTCTGTCTGCCCTGGATAGTGATGATTCAGTCCTGTTGCTGTGGCTCTGATTAACATAGGATTTCACCTGTTGTGATGTGCAGCCCAGGTCTGATATGATTGGCTATACATTACATTTTCCCAAGAAAACGCAGGTATCAAGCTCACAGAGAACTGGTCAACCTGTGGCCAGTGTTGGTTTGTCTCCTACATCTGAATGAAGCTACAGATGTAGGGTTTGTCTCCTACATCTGAATGAAGCTGCAGATGGAAGAAAGTAATGATGTCATAAATGAACAGACATCAGGTTCAAAATGGCCATTTAATGTATTTAATGAAGAGCTCTTCCTAAATAATAATAATAAAAAATAATAAAAAAGCTGCCAATTAGAGATTGGAAATTTTTAAAATAATGATCCCACATTTAGGACAAGGTCCAGTATTGGACTATCCATATGTGGTGGACGACACCTGTGATTGACAACAATGTAAAGGAGTGATTTGGCTGTAAAAAAGAAATCAACTAATTCTACATCAAGTAAGAACTTAACTTAACCTTCTGTTGGATAATTATTTTATTACATTTCTCCCAAAATCAATGGAGGATCTTTCTGCTGTTTTCACTTTTGCCTCTGGATGTCTATGTCCATTTTGTTTTAGTACAGATCCATATGTTGTGCACACTTGTTGTCAGCATACAGAGTACTGAGACAAGTGTGTGTGTGTGTGTGTGTTTGTTCTCCTGCCACCAGGTGACAATGACGCACAAATAGATATCCACCAGGGAAATGTGGCAGGAAAAAAAACGTGCCTCAATGAATGTATGTTCTCCCTGTTGGTGATGGACAGAGGTGGAGGTGACAGAGTGTTTTTCTGGGCACCCATATTTTAAAATTCACAGACCTTTGCAACCCACGTCAATAGACATTATTCTTAAACCTCTGGGAAACATGATGCGAGAAAAAAAAATCTCTAGTGACCTACCTGAGGGTCGCGACCCAATCTTTGGGAAACAACGATATAGTGACCCATTCACCAAGGATAACAGGTTATCAATCTTATTTTCATTGGATCACATGGATCCCTCTGAGATGACCCACGGTCGAACACTGGACATGTCAGCTGGAGACATCAACAAACTACCCCTCAAACCGACCCAATTAAACCAGTCACTTTTTATATATTACCACAAGAATTCTAAGAAGAAATATTTGGAAAAATATTAGAAAAAATTCCAGGAAAATTCCAGGAAAATTCCAGAGGAAAACATCTCAAACCACTGATAACTAGGAGTAGTGCTAATGAAATATTATTTCCAACATTTCCACACTGTCTCACCGAATCTGCTGTGGTCCTGCCTTGTCCCATGCACTGTCCCGTTAGGGAATATCTCCAGTTGGAAGCCGGTCCTGCAGTAGAGCTGCCGCCGCCTCAAGATCCCTTTCAGGTGCCCGAAATCCGTGGGCGACCCCCGCTGCAGCCTGCCTTCAATCTGCCCCAGCCGCTCATTCAGCCCCACCGGAGACTCCGCTATGGGCACATTCCCGAGCGCAGGAAAGCTTTGTAAATCCAGGTCTATGGTCCCGAGAAAGCTGCCCACCTCTGCCATGGTGTGCACAGCTGTCAAATTAAGCGACGGCATTGGAAGTGTTCGCGTGAGTCAAAGAGGGAGAAAAGTTCTGCACCAGTCCGGTCCATGCACGCACAGAAAGCCCGGCTCCAGCAATGCGCACCGCGCGCCTCCAAATCCAACGCAGCCGAGCGTCCTCGCACTTTATTTAATCGGCCTGTGCTTTAATCATCAGTTTGATATCTCTGTTCATCAGAAGGACACGTCTCTATTATATACATACTCCCCACGCATTCTCACATTGGATGTTCAAACACAAGCCACGCCTGGCTGGCATCCCTTCTTTTACGCACAGCAGTTTCCTTTACGGAGCGACTTCCAGTCCAACTTTTACCGCCGCTGTCTGCACGTTTCTGTCACTGCTCTCTCTCTCTCTCTCTCTCTCTCTCTCGCTCACTCCCCTCTCCCCCTCTCTCCCTCTCCTGACTTTCAGAGAGAGTGACTGTCTTTTAATAAGTCCAGCTCCAGAAGGATCTCCCCACTGCTGCTGCTGCTGCTGCCGCTGCTGCTGCTGCTGCTGCGCTCCCGACTGCGTTCCCTCGGATGAGGCGAATGTCTGGCAACAGCTTGCGGTGCATTAAAATGCGAGACAGATGCAGGAGCAGAGAGCATCATTGTTGAAACACAAAAAGCAGCTGACACAAAGCCGCAAAGCTACATTTATCATAAACTGTAACAAACCACTCCACCACAAGGGCGATCCATAATTTTTCACTGACTGCCTCATGCTCACACCATGGCCTCCCCTGTGGCAGAAGAAAAGGAAAACCACCAAACAAAGCAAAGTGAGGAGAACCAAAGCAAACCAGGCTCTCAGGTGAGAACCCACCCGACCCCGACCCCTTGGACCCCCCCTAAAAAAATCATCTCAGTAAACATGAATTCTGGGAGAGAAGCAGTCTCACGCAGACGTGTCAGTGCCAACCAGTGCAGCTGAGCATTCTCTCCACCAGCCTGTGTTTGAAGCAGGTGCTTCCCCAGCCCCGTGCACAATGTGCTCCAGCTGTAGCACTTCCAAGATGAAAAAGGGGGGGGGGGATCAGAAATTTGACATTCTGCCCAAACCTTGGAGGAATTTAGATAGAAATATTTCCAGTTGAATTTTTAAAAAATGTTAACTTTTAAGTTTCCTACAACCTCAAGTGATCTGCTGCTGCAAATGCATTGAAAAAAAGACTCCTATATACGTATATTCCATGTCATCATGCAAAGAGGAAACTTTATCTCAGTTTTAGGAGGTCTGTCCAATTATACAGATCAAAGTCAGTCAAAGAGGTTTGGATATTCTGATAAATGAATCTGGCTTCTCTTCCCACGTTGTTGCTGGTATCACTTTATAAATGACTTCATATTTATTCATCCAAAAGAGTGAGATTTGTCAGTGGAAACGCTAAATGTCATTTCTTTGTCTGCCTGACATATAAAGGTTTAAGATCATCACCAAAGCACAGATTTTTTTTTTTTTTTATGACATTCTAGAGAATTTTCCAACCGTTCTGGAAATGAGGTTTGTAACCGGAGTCGTCAAAAAGGTTAAAAAAAATCTCACAATTTTCTCTGGACGCAGAGAAGAAAAGGTATTAAGTACTATAACAATAACAGTGAAGTACAAGAAACGGCTTAAACACATGTGCTTGAATTACTGTCCTGTTTCCACTGATTAACACCTTCACATGTCCACGGCTCGCTCCACCCAAGCCAAAGTCTTTCCACCGATGTCCAACAGTTTGATGTTTCAGGTGCACCGTGAGCCGTGCCACCACATGCACCCAGGAGGGGTAAAAAAAAGACAGAATAGGAGGTGTGTTCGGTGATAAAATATGAAATTTGCATCATCTCTACGCACAATGGCGGAGACGGGTCGCGACATGTCACTGCTCCGGAGACAAAATACAGCTGCTCCGGCGAAGACTTTGTTTTTGCGAAATGAAAACAAACCCCAGCAGTGTTTTAATTAGCTAACTGTTCTGGTGATATCAGTGACAGTGGGAGGGGGCGGCCATGATTACATCAATAACACACTTTGGCTATTAGGCGTATTATTTTAGACCTCCTTTAAGCTGTTTTTGGAAACTCCCATCCTGAGGGCACTCCTCACCTCAGTGCTACTCATCACAGCAGCAGCAGCAGCAGCTTTAGCCGCAGCAGCAGCAGCAGCAGCAGCTTTAGCCGCAGCAGCAGCAGCAGCTTTAGCCGCAGCAGCAGCAGCAGCTTTAGCCGCAGCAGCAGCAGCAGCAGCATTAGCCGCAGCAGCATTAGCCGCAGCAGCAGCAGCAGCTTTAGCCGCAGCAGCAGCAGCAGCAGCATTAGCCGCAGCAGCAGCAGCTTCTCTGTGCAGAGTCGACGGGATTTATGACGGTGACTCAACGGATGGTGATGAATGGTGTGTTAAAATTACCCAAAGTGTGTATGATTGTGTTCGCGCCACTGCCAGGCTTTGATGAAGTTCTCGGCTCCTTGTTTTTTGGCTAATCTATCAACTCTTGCGGTGGCAGTCTAATCTATTTTGAAGCAGATGTGAGTGGCTTTCAGAACTCCTATGACTGGGATACAGTATGATTGACCCTCCAAAGCATGCAGGCCTTTTTTCACTGCTACTAATTATGCCACTATAAATCTTACGGGTGTGTCATGCCGGCATTGAAGTCAGAGGAGGGACAGTGGCTTTCAGCTGGTGCGGGATATGAAAGGTGGTGGGGGTGATGAATGCCCGTGGGCCTCCGCTTGATGAATTGGGCAAGGGGTTGACGAGGAGTCAGGGATGGTCAGGCTTTGTGCGAACAGACACCAGGGCCTCGCTGCAGAAGAGGATGAAAGGAGGATTCGTCTCAGCTAAAGGGTGGAAAGAGAGGGATTAAAGAAACGAGAGAAGAGGAGAAAGACGGACAGAGAGCGAGCAGGAGAAACAGGGTAATAGAAAATTAAAAGGGAACACCCAGTCTTCGTTTCGCCCCCTCCTCGTCGGCGTGGTGTGACTTTCGCCGTGCTCGCACAAATCGGTCCAATCGGCTCGTGAGTGTTAGAAGCGAAATCTAAGAGGTGCTAGGTTTTTTATTTGTTTATTTGCTGGTAGATGTAACAGCTACATCTGTTGCTCTGGTGGGCCATATTTTATAGTTGACACGGCAGATTTATGGAGCCACACACACACACATACATACACACACACACATATGCACACACGGAGTTAAAATGTTCCCATATGCCGAGAACCTGCAGAGGATTTAAAAATGAAGATAATGACCTCAAGTGCATAGCTGCAGCTTTGAAGTTGCTCTCCCATGAGTCACAGCCAGAGAGTCAAAATTGAAAATGAAGTTACACTTGCAGTGGGAATTGGGGGCTAATATGCGCCTCACCTGTTTATTTTCTCGAGACAGACTTCATATGTGTCCTCTCCAGAGGTTTGAGGAAAAAGTCCACTTGGACAAATTCAAGTGTAGACTGAGATGTGCTCCGTTTGACTGTGTCTGCAGAACCACAGTCCATGTTAAAGGCACAGTTCCACAGTTGGGGACCTTTGCCAAACTTTGATGTTTTTTTTATTTTATTTTTACTTTGACTATAAAAAGCAACTTTGATGTTTTTTTTATTTTATTTTGACTTTGACTATAAAAAGCATATAAAAAGTATAAAACTACTGATAATATCAGACATTTACATGGGAGTTCACAGGTGTTTTCCCCGTAACGTCAGTTCTATCTTGTCAACATTTTTTGCAATGTTGCAGCTTTTCTTGGAGTTGAAAAGTATCCACTTGGGTCTATTTTTTTTTATACTTGATCCGGTGGCAGCTCTCCTATCTGGTCATGGATGCCCAGTTTAGTAGATGGCCTCCTGCCGCTCCTGATGGCTCACACATAATCATCAGTTCTAGGATCGGGTTCCTCAAACCCCTCTTAACCTCAGCCAAAGGAGGGCATGAAAAAAAAAACGGAGTCAGTATCAGTGGCTCTGGGCGAAGGAAGCTTGTAGCTTATACTACATGGTTAACAAGGCCACTGAAGAGGTCAAACCCCTGCATCTGCCCACGAGCAGGGCAGAAAGGCAAAGTGCACGGGCCGCGGAGTGTTCCCTCCGAGCAGAGCCACAAACTCGCCCGGTGAAAGGGAAGAGAGAGAGAGAGGAGGAGAGTGGATATCATCTGTTCTTATTTTACCTTTTGTCAAGCAGCATGTGGAAAATGATCTTCACTGTGAGTTATTTGCAGAGCTGGATTCCGTGTTATTTCATTCCCGAGCAGAGACATAACAGAGAGGGTCTCCTCTTTCACGCAGGTGGTCCTTCGGTCTTGTTCAAGGGCGCCGTGTATGCTGGGGAGGGGTTGAGGGGTACGCAGAGGGAGGAGGAGGACGAGGAGGACGAGGAGGGGGAGGAGGGGGGTGGACACAGACAGATGCATGCGAATTTAGGTAATGGTGTAACATTTCAGCGCCTGCTTTCCTTGGCCACCCCATGTAAAGATAGTGTTAATTAATTTGTTTGGTTTGCTTTCAAGCACTAACGAACGGAGCCCTCCAGGTTTTGAGAAGCCACCAGTATGCAAGGAACACAGTCTAAAACCAACATTTGTTGTAGAAATTGCTTGCATATGTTCTGAGGAGGGGGAAAGAGATCCTCGTCATGACACACGAGCGGAGATGTCCCACTACTCTCACTTTTACTGCATAGGTAAACCTTGGTGGGAAACTTCGGCCTGGTCTCCAACATTCTGGTTTAGCAGTTAATTATCCGTACTCCAAACTTGTGGTTTCACTGCTTTCAAAAGACAGCTGACTTAAATATCAACTGGGACCTGCTCTGAACGCTCTGGTTCTTGGGGATAAAATTCCCACTTAGCCGTGATATTATTAGGGTATTGAAGATTTAATGAGACAGTTAGTAACTCTATAGGAGAGAGGGTTTTTTTTTTTTTTTTTACTGTATTGTTCAGTGGCCACTTTTTCGAGGCTTGTCCGTCTTCACTGATTCTAAGAGTCTGTTTCTTGTGACAAAACTGGAGCTAAAGTAGAGAATAAATAATCATCTGAATGTGTTGATGAAATTCTAATAATAATAATAACACTGTAGAACAATACAAATTAAACTATTGTAAAGGATTCATTAAATATATTTAGTTGTCTTTTGTACTTTTTGACAACTGTATCATACTGTACCATACTGTACTGTACCTTACAGTATGTATACTATACATAGAATAAAGTATAAATGTTTTTATTTTACTGCAGTACATAATGGTTCAATGTCCAATTTTAGCCTTTTCTGCACTAACTAAAGTACACAGGATTTTCTTTTGTTTTTGTAAACAAACACAAAATCTTCACTTCCCCATTATTCCTCTGCAGGGGACGCTATAACCACTATTTGAGTGTCCCGGTCCATGTGTACAGATACAAATCTGATCACAAATGTCCCATAAAGAAATCAATACAAAAAATGACATTTAATGTGAATTTTGAATATATCCATTGTT